TATTTTAGTAAAGATTTTACGTACTTTATTTTTTTACTTATCGGATGTTATGGGATTTTTTTTGTTAAACCGATTTTATGGAATATAATATAAATACAATTAGAGGATTGAACAAAATCAGAACATATTTTCATACAATTAGATAATAAAAAAATTAGATAAGGAAATGAAGGAATTAGATAAGAAAAAAGAAGGAATTAGATAAGGAATTTTGAATTTGACTTTTTTTTTGGATAGATAAACTTTACGTACAAATTTTGACTTCACTGATTTTATGAGATTTATTTTGACAAAATCAATGTTAATATGGAATAAGACAAATAAATAAAGTCTTTTTATTTTAGTAAAGATTTTACGTCTTTTTTTTTTACTTGTCAGATGTTATGGGATTTTTTTTCTTAAACTGATTTTATGGGATATAAGACAAATAAATAAAATAATTAAATAAAATTCTGAATAGAAATAGCAATGCATTAATTATGTTGACTTTTCAATCTACTAAAGGTAAATAGGATACTATACAAATAAATAACATGCCAAAAATCTAAAGAATAATTAATGTATTTTATTTTATTATCTAGTTATCAGTAATATCATTTAATGATGTCATCATTATCTCTTAAATGATAAATAAAATATTAATTTTAAAAAAAAATTGTTTTTTATATACTCAAATAAAAATTAAAAAATACTATCCACAAATATGAATTATAATATATACCAGTAAAATCATTGCAGAAATTAATAAAATTATTTAAGGAAAGAATATTTTTTATCATATTTGAATATGAAATGTATATATGTAAGCAATTAATGCATATAATAAAAAAATTCTAAATAAAGTATGCATTAAATGTCAGTTGACTTTTCTTGCTACTATTTTTAGTAAATAGTATGGCTTTTAATATAAGTATAGATATAAATATAGATATATAAATAAAAATGATATATATAAAAATATATCATTTAACAATAAAAGTATTCATATTTGTTTAAAAAATACGATGAGTCAACTCGACTAACCTTTTTCACTCTCTTGTACAAAAAATTTTATAATGTTTTTAGGTTATCCTTCTAATACATATATAGAATTTTAGAATATATATATATATATATATACACTGTACTAGAACTAATTTGAAAAATAGACCATAATATATACAACTCTTTTGAATAAAAAACGGCTTATCTGGAAATAATAAAATCAATTTATGAGGTAAATAAGATAACAATCTCTCCATTATTTTATTATATTAAAATAAATATATCAGCCTCATCTCAAACAATGTAGCTGTATGTGTGCACAGAATAACAGACATGACATAGGGCTTTCTAGTGTCCCAATAAAATGGAAACTCAGCAATTTCGTCTATACATGGCCACAAGCATCCCATGTGTGGAATATGGGGACATACACATTTAATGGAGGAAATTATATATCCTAAATATATATATAGTGTTAGAATATTACTTGTAAGTTGTCTCACATCGTTTATATATGAAAAATATACATAATTTATAAGTTTAATGGACTATTTCTCCGTAATATATTTGTCAAGTTCATTATGTGATGTCTATATATCTTAAATAGTGTTTCGGAACTTAAAAAATTTCACGTAAATGTTTTATGTGAAATGTTAGAACGTATTTACTCGATTTTCAAATTGATTGATTAAATAAATATTTTCACATTATTACATTCGTTATGATTATTTGTAGACAATGTGGTGTGTTAGTAGTCACACAGAAGATTACACTATCGGTTTCTTATAAGATATAAACGGTTTTTACAACTAGGATAGTTATGTACAACTAAGATAGTTATGTACATTACTATCGGTTTAGGTTGTAGTATACACTAGTATAGTTATGTACATTACTATTGGTTTAGGTTGTAGTATACACTAGTATGTAGCTTGTCGCTAGAATAAAAACACTCGCAACTAAACTGGCACACAACAAAAACAACTAAAACAACTAAAAAGACCCCAACCGGAGTAATACCCGAGTGTCGGATCCCAACAGGATAATAAATTTGACACTCGGGCTCACAGAGGCCAACGCCCCAGACCTAAAACATAACTACGAACACAAAGCAACACAAAAAAACGACGGAAACAAAAAAACACACAAAGCCCTTCCCCAGCAAACGAACTGCCACAACCAACAACGAACGCTCGACTCATGAATGATTCCAAGCCCGGGAAACCAATACCGAAACTGCAAACTGCCTATACAGTAGTCGAAACCAAGTCCCGAACCAATCCCGAATCGACCCAAATTCAACCGAGAAAACAAAAACCAACTCCCCCATCAGCCCCACCTGAACCCGCCTAACACCACTAGCCGAGCCCGGGGGAACCAAAGCCCCCGCCGACTAACACCATTAGCCGACAGGAGAGGGAGGAAGAGGCTTGTTCTGCAACTCTGGCAACCGCAGCGAAAGACCCAGCCAAAGCCCGGCTCCACCACAACACTGCCAAAGCCCCACCTTCCAAACCGACCTACACCTCGCGTTACCACAAGCCACCGGAAGCGGAGGACGAACATCACCCGAAGACGAAGCCAAGGAACCTCCAGATCGCAGACCAGAGACATATCACGAAAGAGACGACCATGAACAAAGGACCTGCCGGCGACAAAGACGCTGGCCAATCTCCGCCCGGAAGCCGCACCACGACGAGCCCCATCTGAAACCCTGGTTCACCCCACCAATTCCGACCACCCGCAGCAACATCGAAGGTACGCAGGTCAGAAGACGAGCAAGCGGCTGAAGATGACCATTGGCCGGAGCAATACGTCGTCGGGGAAGGCCGAGAGTCGCTGCAATGGAAGAGATGGCACCGAGGGAAATTGGGGATTAGGTTAGAGAGAGAGGCCAAGAGTCGCCGCCTAATGAAAAAATAATTGAAAAAAGTCTAATAAATGTTGTCATTCATTTCAAGATAGGACAAGAGTGCAATGTTAATACTTTACTGTAATGAATTAATATTTACATGATAAATTATGTTCTGGGCTGAAAATAAAAATTTGGGCCAATAAGTTGTCCAAATCCTATACCTTATAGGCGTTCTTAGTCTGACCCAAGTAGCTCTATAAATAGATAGATTAATAGATTTTGAACCCTAAGAAAAATGTGTCAGTCATCAGCCACTAAGGGAGGACGAGAGTGAGTCAGAGGGTTCGAAAGGCGCGTGCGTAACAACCTGCTCTTATCGGAGGATCATCGTCCATCTGGCGTTTAGACGTGGTCGGGATACAGATTAGAAGGTCGCCATATTGAATCAAAGTTTTTGTTTTAAGGTCGTTCTTTGTCAATACTTTAGGAGCGTGCTTAAATTCATTCAAAACCATGTATGTAAGAGTTTTGAATCCAACAGCGACCCGAAGGGATGGACCGACCTTACTGGCGTGTTCGAGCAACACACAATAAGTATGTATATTTTAGTAATAAAATAATCAAGAAGGATCAGCCCACTGCACTTATAGTGGACATAGTTTTTTTGACCCGGACTGGCCCGGCGGGTTGACCCGGGATATTGTCGACCCGTAGCCGGAACCGGTCAGGGTGGACTATTTGGACCGTGCAACAAAGAGCCCGGTCAAACCCGATAAAAATTCGGTCGACCCGGTGCATTGACATTTTTATTATTATTACTCCCTCTTTTTTTAAATAAATGTCGTTTTGACTTTTTTAATATGTCTACATACATATTAATGTCTAGATACATAGCAAAATGGATGAATCAAAAAAGTCAAAACGACATTTATTTAAAAAAGGAGGTAGTATTTTTTTTTTTTTTTGTTTTCTTAAAAATAAACTACTTATATATATTTATATGGTAAATATTATCATAAGATACATATTATTAACACTTTAATATATAAATTTTTATACACAAAATATTTAATTTAGTTATTTTTATGTATATTTATATGACAAAATACTCCATATATAATTTTAAAAATTTTAAAATTAATTATCTAGTTCAGCAATTGACCCGATGACCCGATAGTTGTACCGGTGACTCGATGACCCGGAGACCTGCCCGGGTCGATTACCTGGCCGGATTTAAAAACTATGGTAATGGGTATACATTAGGTATATTTGCATGTAAATTTGCCTGTAAATTTGCAGAGCGTTGTTATTGCCGAAGGCAAATTAGGGCAGTGAAGACTGGAAAGTGATTAATGATCAAAGACTGAATCAAAGTTTCTCGTAAAAATCTCCCATTTAATTTGCGCATTTCAAATGCTATTGGAAATTGCAGAGTGGGAGGGACTACGTCAGAAACTAACCAATCCATAAAAATAATGGGAGATGCTATGGTCTCGTTACGGAACAATTCCGTCGGTGTTTATAACCGTTAGATCAGCTATCCTCGACGGTTACATAATGATCCAACGGTCACAAACCCCGACGGAATGGTTCCGTAACGGAACCGTAGCATTTCCCAAAAATAATATTACCTTTTTCTGCACCCCCAAATTCCCAAAAAACAGCAAAAAATAAAAAGTAGTCTCCCCACCCCCCATCTCCCCAACATCCATAATAGAAAGGAGTACCTTGTATAGAGATAGACTCCCTTATATAAAGTTATAATTTTATGTACGGACACATGTCAAATGTGCATTTATTGTAGAACACGTGACAATAAATCATTTGTGAATAACTATGGATGACTCTATAAGTCGAGTCATCCAAAAGCTTTATAACAAAACCGAACATTGAATATGAATAAGGTTGATTAAAAAATGTAATCAGAGTCATATGCTAGTAAATAAAAGAGGCTTAGGAAAACAATATGAATAATAAACAAATAAAAGAAAAGAAAAAAAAAAAAAGAAAGGGAAAACAGATCCCCCTCGACCACTTCTATTAATACTTCCCCCCCAATATAGAATCGAAAATGAAAAAAAAAAAAAAAAAAAAACATATAGAATTACAGATACACACATCACACACTTTCACTAGTTAGAATTTAGGTATGTGCGATTCCATGACCTCCTCCGACCACAACAAGCACCCGCCCGCGGCCGAGTGTTGCTTCTACCTCGGCCTCAAATACCCGCCAGTACCCCTGAAACCACCCACCCCTCTCCCCTCCTCGTCTGAGCTCCTCTCCGAGACCAAATCTCTCCTACGCCTGGCCTCCCCTATTGCCCTCACCACTCTTATCCACTACACCCGCTCCATGCTCTCCATGCTCTTCCTCGGCCGCCTCGGTCAGGCCCACCTCGCTGCCGGCTCCCTTGCCATCGCCTTCGCCAACATCACCGGTTACTCGGTCCTCTCCGGGCTCTCCCTCGGCATGGAGCCCCTCTGTTCACAAGCCTTCGGCGCCAACCGCCATGCCCTCCTCTCCCTCACCCTCTACCGCGCCTTCCTGTTCCTTCTCCTCTGCTCCGTCCCCATCTCCCTCCTCTGGCTCAACTCCCACCGCCTCTTGATCGCTCTCGGCCAGGACTCGGACATTTCCGCCCTCGCCCGTACCTACCTCGCCTTCTCCCTCCCTGACCTCCTGGCCCACTCCCTCCTCAACCCCCTCCGAATCTACCTCCGCTCGCAGGGCATTACCCGACCCCTCACCGTCGCTTCGCTCGCCGGAGCCGCCCTCCACCTCCCCGCTGCCTTTCTCCTCGTCTCCAAGCTCCGCCTCGGCGCTGCCGGGGTGGCGGCGGCCGCCGCCGCCTCCAACTTGGCTGCTCTGGCGGCGCTCGTCCTGTATATCCGGGCCCGAGGCCTGCATGGTATGTGGCCGCTGGGTCGGGAGTGCCTCTCTGGGTGGGGCCCGCTCGTGCGTCTGGCCGGGCCCAGCTGCGCGTCCGTCTGCCTCGAGTGGTGGTGGTACGAGATCATGATCGTGATGAGCGGGCTGTTACCCGGCGGCCAAAGGGTCGCCGTGGCGGCGATGGGGGTGCTCATCCAGACGACATCGCTGCTGTACGTGCTCCCGTCGTCGGTCGGGGCTGCTGCGGCAGCACGGGTGGGGAACGAGCTCGGGGCGAACCGGCCAGGACGGGCTAGGGCGTGCGCCGCGGCGGCGGTGGGGCTGGCGGCCGGGATAGGTTGCGGGGCGGTGGGGTTCACGGCGAGCGTGAGGTGTGTGTGGGCGCGGATGTACACGGACGACGAGGGGGTGGGGCGGCTGGCGGCGGCGGCGCTGCCCATTCTCGGGCTGTGTGAACTTGGGAACTGCCCGCAGACGGTGGGATGTGGGGTGGTGAGAGGGACGGCTCGGCCGGCGGCGGCGGCGAACGTGAACCTAGGGGCGTTCTACCTGGTCGGGATGCCGGTGGCGGTTGGGCTGGGATTTGGGCTTGGAGTGGGCTTTCGGGGACTGTGGTTGGGCCTGCTGGCAGCACAGGTCTGCTGCGCCGGGATGATGCTTTACGTGGTGGGCACCACCAATTGGGAGTATCAGGCGGTGAGGGCTCAGCTGCTCACGTGCGGCCCTCGATCTGGCGAGAAGGCAGAGTCGCCTGCAACTGACGAGAATGACAACCAACCCTTGATTTGCGATATGGTGAACTTACATGATGACGAGTGACATCCTTTTTTTATTTATTATTATTATTATTATTATTATTATTATTATTATTATTATTATTATTATTATTATTATTATTATTATTATTATTATTATTATTATTATTATTTAAACTTTAGAACATTCGCATTTTATTAAATTTTTTAGATTTTTTTTATTCATGCAGCTCTAATTAATTGCACCCAGTCAAAATTATTACGTCAATTGGCATAGTTGGATGAACTTCATCAAAAATCAAGATAAATCACATAAATACTTTTTTGTTTTATATTTAAAAAATGAAAATCATTTTTTAGTTATCAATATGCTTATAAAACCAGCCATTAATTTTTATATATATAGTTATGTGTTCACCTGTGTTTATAATCACAACATTTTATGTTGGTATCTAGATGGGGGTTGAGTAGTGAAATAATTAGTGAGCTTGAATTAGCTAATGAAAATAATTCTTATGCATATATTTTGTTTTATTTAGGAAAAGAACATTAAATTTAACACCCCATAATGTTCATTTAGATAATTCCAAGGTTGTACCATAGTCTTGCGAATCTTGGTCTCGGTAGCACTTTCGTAAAAATATCCGTTCGTTGATCTTCAGTGGCCACATACGTGAACTCTATCAGCTTGTCATTAGTTATTTCTCTTAGCAGAAAAGGATATTTGATACCAATATGTTTGGCGCGATGTGATGTACTGAATTTTTATCCGTTGTTATTGTTGATTAATTGTCGTAGTTTATTTCTATAGAATTTTCTTAGTGTTCCCATGTATCCAAGTATACACCTTAGTCAAATATCTTGATTTGTCGTTAGTGTTGTTGCGACGTACTCGATCTCTGCTGAAGATTGCGCCACAGTCTTGCTTTTTGGATGTCCACGAGAATATGCTTGAGCCAAGTGAAAATGTGTAGCCTGAGGTGCTTTTCATGTCGACAGCTGATTCAACCCAGTCACTGTTTGTGCAGCCAATCAGTCTTGTGTCTTCGTTATATTCGTATTGGATTCCATAGTCTTTAGTACTCTGCAAATATCACATTATTCTTTTAGCAGCTCCATACTAAACTACGCTTGGACTTAGCATGAACCTCGACATTAGACTTGTCGCGTACATGATATACAGTATGTGGCCATTAGATGAAGTAAACTTCCAACCATGCTTCGGCATGTAGATGCATCTACATTTGGCGTACAATCTTCTTTGTTGAATATCTCGTTCCTGACCAAACGAGTAGCCACAGGTTTACAACCGTCCATCTTGAACTTTTTTAGTAGATTATCCGTATATTTCTTTTGTGACATAAGTATCCCATTTTCTTCTTGAGTTACCTCAATGCCGAGAAAATAGCTCATTTGCCCAAGGTCGGTCATCTCAAAGGTCTCCATCATATCTTCTTTGAGCTTCTTAATCATCTCTTTATTGTTTCCTGTGTAGCTAAGATCATCAACAGAGATAAACAATGAGTTTGTTCTTGTTACATTGGGTCTTGATGTAGAGTATTGGCTCACTTTTGCTTCTTTTGAATTCATGGCTGGTGAAGTAGTCATCAATTCTGTTGTACCAAGCTCGTGGGGCTTGTTTCAATTCGTAAAGGGCCTTTTTTAGTTTTAGGACTTTATTTTCTTGTCCTTCTGCCACGAGCCGTTGAGGTTGTTCGACAGAAATCTCCTTCTGTCACGAGCCGTCGAGTCCGTTCGTCCTAACCTAAATAAGAGAAAAACAATTCGATTTATGGGACAGTTCGTTATTAACAAAATAATTGAAGATACTTGGTTATACTCTTAGGTCGAGTCATCCTAACTTGACCAGAATGGGTGGGAGGAGAAGGGGCAGATGATATGATATACTATATGAATCACTAGACCTTGGGCCGATAAGAGCAACTCGGGCGATTCGAGTGGACCAACTACTCAATTAAAGAGTCGGTCAGCATGAAGACTCAAGGTCGAGATAGACCTTATAGACAAACTTGTTAAGAAACATGTCCAGTTAGGACTCTAGGATAGTCTGATGCAAACACGACCTGCAAGTAATGAGGTCGGTCGGAGACCCCAGACTTGCTCAGTGAAGAGTAGACGATTAAGTATAGAAGAAATTGAGCAATTAGATCGGCAATGCCTAGAACGATGACCTAATGAGGTAGACTAATGTAAACACATAATGTAATATATAAGTAAGAATATAATATAGTAAAAAGAACATGCGGATAACAGAACTGGGCAGTCCACGGATTAAAGCAGTGAGAGGGCAACACGTATACCTGGGCAGCAAGATCGACAGCAAGGTAAATGGCTCTATATAAGGGTTGAGGTATGATTATTATTTCTTTACACATTCTGCATATTTTAGAATCATATACAATACATATTTCATCACTCCCGGTTACTGACTTGTAGACATTTTATGCTCGTTCCAATGAGCTTTAAAATTTGTAGATAGTTTATTCTCTTATTAAGAAGATCTTGATTTTGTATACATTTTATGCTTCTGTCAATGGGCTTCATATTTAACTTGTAGACAGTTTATTCTCGTGCCTAGGAGATCTTGATTTTATAAACATTTTACGCTTGTGTTAGGGGCCTTCGAGTTTGTAGACATTTTATGCTCGTGTCAAGGAGCTTTCATTTGTAGAGATTTTATGCTCGTGCCCAGGAGCCTTATAGATAGGCTCATATCATGGAGCATCGTAGATACTTTAGGCTCTTATCAAGGAGAGTTTGAATTTGATTTAATGGAGCTCTTTATGTAAATTTTCCTAATGGAATATGAGAAGGATATGGAAGACCACTTTTGTTTTGGCTCCATTCGGATGAACTTGACGAGGTCGATGATTTTTTGCGGCTTCATGGCTTGGCGAACCTGCATCAGTTGCCTCATAGAACTTCCAACTTGAATTGAAGATAAAAGATGAGAGGTAGAGATAGTCCCACTGTGAGTGCTAAATTTTTGTAACAATGAACTTTATGAATAATATATAATTTTTGTATAATTTTATATTTTGATCAAACGATTTTGTGGGTTCAAACATTATATGTCTAACCTGATTCCTCTCTTCTTGAGTTTAGGGTGGGATCTTCGAAGCTGGATTTGACGATTGGATCTTTGAGCTTGAATATGTCTAATGTTAATTGAGGGTTCGAATGACTTGATCTCGAATTAAAAGGTTTGAACTTGATTTGATTGGAGACGGCTTCTTCCTTCTTCGATCCTCCTAGATGTGGATTTTGGCTTGAATAATGTTGACTCGAGGACTTGATTGTTTTTTTTTTTTTTTTTTTTTCGGATCAAACGCTATGCTGGTTGAACTTCTCGAAAGCGGCTTGAATGTTGCTTGTAAGCCGTTGATATTCTTGGAATGATTTGAGAGTAGTGGATATCGCTTCTTTATTTATTAGAGAACAACTGCCACCTCTTTTTCTCCTTCTTGACCTTCTTCAGCATTGAGCGTATTTCGGAGGTTAGGAGACTTGATTTCGGCCTGAACGCCGATATTCAACTTTAATGCCCTTAGATCTTAAAGAACGTCTTTAAATCTTCTAAAGAGTTTTCGAGAGCTCTTGAACTTGAGACTTTGATTTATGACGTGTAATCTCTTTTCTATAATTTTGACTTCATGGATAATAAATAATTACTTTTTGATGTAGGGAATGCGTACGAATGGGAAAGATAAACGAGTAAACGAGATACTCTCTCGTAAAACACGTAAAACTCAACAATATATTTCTTTAATTCAAAATCAACTGCATAAAACAATAGATGAGGAGTCCCTTAAATAAGACTCCTACAACCCTAATACTAACTTGTCCAACAAGACAAGAATCCTAACAATACTAATTTGTCTAACAAGACAAGAATCCTAACAAAGTGATAAATAATAAGTTTCCTAACAAATCTATAATAGCAATAATAATAATAATAATAATAATAATAATAATAATAATAATAATAATAATAATAATAATAATAATAAACATCCTTATCTCCATCATTCTCCCCCTGTCGAAAAGGATTCGCCCTCGAATCCGAAGTAATCTCGTCTTCAACTGCTCCACAATCCTGACCGGGCCAATTTGACGGGCCATGAACTTGGTATACTCACAAGCAAAAAATCTATGGCAACAACTCTCCACTTTGTCCTTTAGGGGCACACTATGCGAGCTATCAGACACATATGCTTGTTGAATAAAAGACAATAAAAATTTATCTTCCAATTCACTGAAAACATCCATTCCAGGCACAACCTCTAGCCGCACAGATGATTCTACAACCACATGGTACTCGTCCTCCATCGACGCCACAAGTGGCTCTTCATCAAAAATAGGCGGACCGTCGTACAATAGTCCGTCATTCTTCTCAAAAAACACACCTTGTTGGCCGTTGTGCGTAGCAACGAACTCAGTCTCGACAGGCGGAGGCGGCCACTCTCCGAAGGGATCCACCTCCAAGATGGTCTCCTCGCCGTCTGCATCGCCGGACGGCGGTTGTGGAGATCGTCGACGGGGCGCCCCGCCTGGACCACGACCTCCACTTCCTCCGTGAACTCCCCTGCGCACACCCCGGTCGCCGGCGGCACGGTTCATCTGCAAATCCCAGACCACGTTGTTAAGCGGCAAGCGCAAATCCTCGATCCCCGTCGAAAGATCTGCAAACCAATTCGTGAAATGCACGTCCGTCTCTTCAAATCGGTAGTCAATCTGTTGAAACCGATCGTGGAAGGTGGCGTCACATTGGTTGTTTGCAGCATCTTCTCGTCCCGGCGACATCGCGAATCGTATTGACTGCTGATACCAACTGATGTAGGGAATGCGTACGAATGGGAAGGATAAACGAGTAAACGAGATGCTCTCTCGTAAAACACGTAAAACTCAACAATATATTTTTTTAATTCAAAATCAACTGCATAAATTAATAGATGAGGAGTCCCTTAAATAAGGCTCCTACAACCCTAATACAATAGATGAGGAGTCCCTTAAATAAGGCTCCTACAACCCTAATAATAACTTGTCCAACAAGACAAGAATCCTAACAATACTAACTTGTCTAACAAGACAAGAATCCTAACAAAGTGATAAATAATAAGTTTCCTAACAGATCTATAATAATAATAATAATAATAATAATAATAATAATTAAATATTCTAAACATCCTTATCTCCATCACTTTTTAATTATATATCTTATTTATCTGAGATCTATGTCTTATCATAAATAAATATATTAACTAATAAATATTTAAATTTCGATATCTTCAATATTAGCAATTTTTCTATTTGACTGTTTCGTTGATAACACCCATCTTCTATTCTATTTCACGATGAAGTTTCCTGGCCCTTTCCACCCCGACGAGTAGCAGAATGACTTTCAGCCCATTATTTTATTCCAAGCCCAATGTATGCTTTACGTAGTCTAACTCTTGACTGAGCCCATGAATGCCCAATACCCTGGTTTTGACCATTTTTTTTCACTCTTTTAAAATTGAAAGTACAATACAAAATAGCTGAAACATAATCTACTTTGAAGTCAACCTTTTCCTACTTTCAAACTCTGGCTCGCGACAACGTTGTTGGTTCGCAGCTTATGTAATTTGATCCCATCCACAAACACTCTTCACTTTCCTCTCTTTCTAATTCTTCAAAATATTGAAGGTCCCAACATTGAATTAACAGAACACAAAGAACACAAGCACAAGTTGTAGAACACGTAGAATTAGCTAATTAATTGATCACTTGCGCTTGAGAACTGCAAAGAGTTGAGCTCCAATCTCGATGCCAGAGGAGAGCAACATCTGAGCCAAGTCTGTTTTTCGATTGAAGGCTCGTTCAAAAAGCTGATGGACTATCTCACTCCCAAAGTGAGCGCCAATGCTTCCTTGAGTGAACGCCCTCAAGTGCCTTACGGCGCTCTCCATGTCTATAGGAGCTTTGAGGTCCGGCCTCGCATTCCTTAGTTCTATTTTCATAACATCGAAACAACCGTTTTTCTCCACTAGCCATGTCATTTGCTCAACCGAAGGATACATGTGAGGGAAATTGAACGTATCCACAAGATCCTGGTCTAGTAGTCCCTGAAATTGCAACAAAATTTTGACTTATAGTACTTATGATAAGAAAATCTATAAACTTAGAAATTTGTTGCAATTTCAGTCCTCAAGTAAATGAAAATTGAAAGCAAAATATTAAATCACATGACCAAAAGAAAAAATGTTAGAATCGTGAAATCACTTGTGACGTTAAACCAACAAGGCTAAAAAAGCCGAAAAAACAGTTATATTAGTATATGAGAATTATTACCTCGTTGACCATGTCCATGAGAATGGAGCCAAGAAAAGTAATCGCTATACCAACATCATGCGGGGTCCGCCGGTCGGGAACCCCAGGCATAATAATGACCACCGCCCCTCCGGCGGCCACCTCATCGCCTCTGGCCTTCAAGAAAACTCCCATGTCCTCCTCGTACTGCCTCTCGTACGCTCTCACCACCGCCTCGTCATCGCTCCACGTGTAGTGTATCCTGCCCGGGTTCCACGCTGGCCCGCCCCTTTCCCGAAGCTCCGCCGGTGGCCCGGACAGCCAGTGGAGCGAGGATGACGTGTACGCCACGTGTACCGACGATCGGGGGAACAGCCGCCCGTAGAACGAGCCCGGCACGCCCGCCACGTAGCACGATTCCAACTCGGGGAGGGTCGAGAAGAGGGTGTTGAAGTCGTTGGCCGGGAGGTCGTTGAGGAGGGCTTTGAACTCGAGTTTATCCGGGTCAAGGGCTCCTTGGGAACGGTTCATGAGGCCAATGATCTCGATTATTGCCTGGATGGCAAGGAGGGTGTTGGGCCCGGCCGCGCAGCCAAGATCCGCTATGGTGAAGGTGGTCGAGCCCGATAAGAGTGTCTTTAGGTCCAGCGTTTCAGTGAGGGCCTCCCTGATGGCTTCCTTGGCCGCGTTCAGCCCGTCTCTCTGCCCACAACATGTAAATAAACTAGCTTATATAGAAAATTGGAAATGCTTTTTTTTTTTGGAGAAAAAAAAAAAAATTGTTGTAGGACAAAATCAAATTAAATGTTACCGGGAAATACTACAGTTCCGTTACGGAACTATTCTGTCGGGATTTAAAACCGTTAAATCATTATGTAACTGTCATAAATAGTTGATCTAACGGTTACAAATCCCTACAGAATGGTTCCGTAACCGATCTCCCAATGTTATTATTGTGAAAATAATTGGAAACCTGAAAAGTGGAGTTCTTGACATAGCTAGTGGTGTCGTCGTCTCCGCCGGTCATTGGGGACACTTGAGCCATCAATTTCGGAAGGTTGTGAAGATCAGACAAGAGTTTAATTTGTTGTTCACAAGTTGAATATCAAATCAACTTTCAGTAGCTCTGTACTTATAATAGCCATAGCCGACAATATGAACACTATGTAATGTCGTAGTTGACCATACAACAACGTGCGTCGTGCGCAAATTGTGAAGTCCTATGGAATTAAAATTAATTAGCTTTGGCCCCAAAGTCAATCGTTTCGCTCGTGGTAGTTATGTCGATCTTTTGAAATTTTACATTATGCCAGCTCATGGTTATAATATCGGGAGATGCTACAGTCCCGTTACGGAATTATTTCGTCGAGTTTGTAACCGTTCGATCATTATGTAGTCGTCGAAAATAGTTGATCTAACGATTACAAATTTTGACGAAATGGTTGCGTAACGGAATCGTAATATTTCTATATCATAGACCCACCAGATAGTTTGACTTTTTTTTTTGGTACAGGGACCTTCCAGTTTCCGGATCCACATGGGAACCGACTAATCCGGAATCAAGCCGGGTAGGACCATAAGGACGGCAAAGCTCTCCCTAATAGTTTGACTTTTTCATTAATCCTTTTATCAGATTTTGAAAAATTCTTTTTAAGTATCTATTAATATATAATAAGAATTAACATAATTCACTTTTAGAAATTTTTTCCCGCCAATTTCATTAATTACATGCTAAATTTAGAATGTTAGGACAATTTGGGATAATAAATTAATGAGCATCCATAATTTTAGGAATAAATTGATATGATTTTTATTCACTTTTCAAAATTTGGTTAGATATTGATATATGGAATAAATTGATACATCCAGAATTGTAGGAATAAATTGATACAATCTCAATTTGCTAATATGTAGGCAAAATTTATGGAATAATATAAACCCGGCATGGACATAGCCGTGCATCTCCATTGTTTCCCGTTTGACCTCTTACCCCTCAAAGGTATTTATCCTTCCACAAATTAAAAAAAAAAAATATATATATATATATATATATATACTATTTATTTATTTTTTGTTTTAGAATTTTTAATTTAATTAGAAATCTAACATTCTACAAATTTGTTAAAAAAATTATTTAATTTAATCATTTGTATTCTTATAACTACAAATGGTTATTTTACCTTTTTTTTTCTGATAAATTATATTAAATAATATTTTCATATCAATATTATTTTACATTATCTATATCTATATATATAATAAGAATGCAAATCAAATATAATAAGCATTTCTTGCCATTATGCATTAATTACATCCTAATTATAGTAATTTTACACAATTCCTTAAAACAAACCTCGAAGCAGTAATTGCAGTCAGTTTTAACTTCCTTCGACAACCGAATTTATTGTTTTAAAAAATATATTTCATAATATTTGATTAAACACTAAATCCGGTTGTTTGGAATCAATTCTATTTAAAAGCAATGTTATTATGCAATCAAATATTATGAAGTATCATTTTAAAATCAGTTTAATTATGGAATCAAATAATTTAACCACGATTCAATATTTTTAATTCAATCTATATCTCTTTTTAGACTTTTCAATTCATTTTAATATAACATAAATTTGCCGTAAAAATGAGAGTAGAACTTTACAATAATCATGGTATCAATATTAATAATATAAATGATAAATAAAAAATTTAATTATTTGGACTGTACACTTTATTATATACATATAAATAAATCGCATATTTGAACTTTAATTTTTTATTTTTTTCATATATAGTTATACAATATATGCAACTTAACTACAAGTAATAAATTTAGTAAAAATTTCATTTCAATCATGGTAACATGTTTTTAAAAATTGCACAATATTCGATTCACTATTCTACTACCCATGTAAATAACTTTTATTTATATTATCACGATTTTTTTTTTTATCATTTTGAATTATTTTTTTATCAATTTAGTTATGATTTTTTTTTAATTTAAAAATAGTGATTTAATGTCATCCGATTCATTTAGTTAGTTTTGATCTACAAATGATAAAATATCGTTGTTATTTTTTTTTTTTTGACGTAATTCTTTTTGTAAATATTATTTTACAAAAGATACAATAAAAAATCTAAATATTTGTTAAAACATAACAAAAACAAAATTGTTCTCAATATTGGAATGAATTTGGAATAAAAAACGACAATGATTGAAAAAAAAAGATGTTCTCAAAATTCACACTTCAAGGTAACAACTTTTCTTATATTCTATATAAAATTAAACTTCATTAGATAAAGCATACATTTAGTATTTATCACAATATTACATATTTACACTATAATTTTAATTTGTGGTGCTAACATAACGAAAATCAACAAAAAAAAGTAAGAAGGTGTCTATGCAGTTCGCAATTACCAAGTGGAGAACAATCTTAGTAAATATCGGTCTACGGTTGCCAAGTGCAAAGTAATTTTGCATGGAAAAATGACGTTGTTTTTAATAATGTATGACTTTTTAAATATTTTACGATTACCTAACAAATACTCTATGTATTATAACTTATTGATTAATAATTTAAATATAAATTTTACCAAAATAAATACAGTCCGTGCATCGCACGGGGTTATGTACTAGTTCAATTAAAGGAAGAATTGAATATATAAGATATTTTGGATTCGATTGGATTTATTAGATAAAAAGAATTAATTTAAAAAATAAAATAAAATGATTGTGTTTTGTTTGAATGGATTTGACAGTGTTACGTTTGCATTACAACAATTGCTAAATTGTGTATTTTGATCCTATTAGATTATGAATGTAACAATTTAGGTCCATCTAGTGTGACATATAACATTACAAGTCATGTAATTTAAAATTTTGTTGTAATTTCAATTTTCTGACTTTCAAAATTTCCAATTTATATGTTTGGACAGATTTTGATTAGTTGTTTAAGTCATATAAATCGAATTTTGGTTATAATTTTAGTCCATTTGACAAAAAATCAGCTGAAAAATCAACCAAACGGCTAGACAGCACCTATGCGGGCCTAGGCGCTCTTAGGCAGACTTGGCGACTGGACGACATCGTGGCTGGCCTAGACTCTCCCAGACATGCTCGCCAACAATTTTTTTAATTTTTTATTTTATATTATTTTAAATACTAATTACATTACTTTTTTTTTATCATGTTTTCAATATCATATATTTATATTATTATTTGGACTGTGTGGATTAATTATAAGTTGATATAGTATTATTTAGTAGGTGGTAGAAATAAATGAAAAATAAGTTATTTAAACTTAATTTCTAGGCGCTCTATACACTAGACGTTGGTCGAACGCCTATCGGCTTGTAGAACACTGGTTGTGGTGACTATGAAGATCAACTAACAACTTCATATTTAAAGGAGATTGGGTTCAAGAAAAAAGAACTGATGTTCCGTGATCCAAATTTCCAACACGTACATGTGTTGATACTCGTTCTTAATTCGCCATTTTATCGTTTCTCCAACATGATTTTGGCACACCAAACTACACTTCATCCCCACATCTCAATTTTTGAAAATTACATCTCATTCCCAACCTCTCAAAATCCATCCCATCAAAGGCCAAATCACATTTGCTAGCTAATTAAAAAAAAAAGAAAAAAAAAACATAAGTTTTCGATAATCACGATTAAACACATTTAAACAAGCATGAAAAATACAGACAACAACATGAGATTCAGATTATAATTAACTGGGCAATCAGAGGCAATCAGAGATTAGGGCGCGTAAGAAACAGATCAATTGGGCGTATGGTCTGGATCTTCGAAATTGGGATCCTTGGCGTCAATGGCGCCCTTCTGAGCCCAGCCCATCTCGGCCTCCGAGTAGCCGTCGCCGCCGGCCCACGTGAATTTCCCGCCTTTGCCGCCTTTCTTGGGCGATCCGATCATGCCCGACCCCGATTTCCGATCCTTCTTCACCTCCGACCCGCTGGGCTTGCCGCTCCGTGGGCTTTTGCTCGCCGGCTTCGTCTTGTCCATTTTTTCCCTTTTAAATCTCTGTTTTTTTTTTTTTTTTCTCTCTCTTTTTTGTTGGTTTATTATTAATTATTTGTATGGTGATTGATGAAAATGGTGATTATATACTGCGTGAAAATTATTGGATATACTGTGGGCTGTGCATTTTTTAATTATTTGACGAGGACTTGACAAATGGATGAGATCGAGCTCGTCTTGATTTTTCCCATCTTTTATGTTTTATTTGTTGATTTAAGTATTGAGAAATGCTACCATTCCTGTTACAAAACTCCAACACAATGGTTTGATAGTAATTTCGTCGGGATTTATAACCGTTAGATCATCATGTAACTATTCTGGATAGTTAATCTAACGGTTACAAACTCCGACGGAATGATTCCGTAGTGATTTCGTCGGGATTTGTAATCGTTAAATCATCATGTAACCCCATGAATAGATGATTTAACAGTTACAATCTCCGACAGAATAATTCTAGGAATGTCCATAAATATTACTACTTCCTAATCTTTTTAAATATCGTTTTTGATATTTTGTACATATTCTTCCATTATTACCCTCATTTATCTAATAAATACATTACGTCTTTTCATATTCACTTTTTATCTTTTTTTTTTAAGAAAAAACAATCATCTCTATCCTCATTAATGAGGGATATTATTGGCAAAAAAAAATATTTTTAATAACTGTGTAATTTCTCAAAACGACATTTATTAATCAAAAAGACATTTATATTAAGAATAGGAGGGAATATTTTGTAGTATTTATTTATTGCAACTTGGCTTATCTACGTTGTTGGTTATTATCTAGGCATATTAATTTAATGAAAATTTGCAGAATCTTCGGCTTTGCATTCAATGTTTAGGAAATAAATTTAATGTTACATTATTCTATTTGAGAGTGATTGAAAAAATAGAAAAGACAAAAGCTTTGAAAAGAAAAATTGCCATATTTTCTTCCATCTCATGAAAAATCAGAAGAAGCTAATTCAAACTTTTTGGGTAAAATAAGAATAACCCCTACAATTAGAATAACATGTTTAATATTACAATAGGGAATTCAAATTGCTTCAAATAAAATACACCATTATGTTCAAATATGTCTAATTATTTAAGTTGTTGACTTCTAGGAAAAAAAATAATTGTTAGACCGAGTAAATTACCAACTTTTCACCTGTTCGACCTTTCAAAATATCGAGTTATACCTAGTATTCTAGAAGTCGCTAGGCGCTAGACCAGTGCTTAGCGCCTTGGCGGGAGCTAGAAATTAAAATTAAATACCTTATTTTTATTTATTTTCACTACCTACAAAATAAAATTATCTCAACTTATAATAAATAGCAAGATGTAAGGGTGAAATATAAAAACCTCAATTACTACATTGTAGACAGCTTACAAAGATATTGATATGATAATGACTTCATGCCATTTACCAAGTACAATCAGTTGAGTTCGTTTTACAGTGAAATCTATAGATCACTTGAATCTGCTTAGTTAAAATATGGAACGATAACAAATAGCACAACAGATACAGTAAAATGTATTATCTTAAAGAAGTTGTTTTTGGGATATGATTTACTTGGGAAAATTGACTGGTGTTTCCAAGCTACCTACCAAGATGCTCAGATCAATATCTTTGTCCTCAAACTTCTTGATGAAAGGGTGGTTCTGCCATTACCAAATACATTTGTTAGCTAAAAAAATTATCGAGGGAGACTTGTAATGAGATAATTGCATGACGAACATAAAAAAACTAACCAGTAGTTCCAAGGAAGAAGATCTATCTCTAGGGTCCTTCTGTATGCTGCATATTACAAAAACATTAGTAATTTCGTAACTGTTTCCTTTTCGTATCTTGTAGTACCATAATGCAAAATCAGGTTTAAGCAAGAAAGAATTGACAAAAAAAAAAAGATTTGACGACAATGCATCCAAAATAAAGTTGATCACCGTAAATTACGATTGATGATCTCTATGGTTACCAGATGTATGTAAATATATAAACGCTATTTTGGAAATAATGTGGCCAGAACTTTCTAGAACCAAGAAAAACTGTCGGGGAGTAGACGCTTAGACTCGTACACTTGGGATGATAATATTATAGTGGTCCATTTAATGGAAAGACCATTTTTAAGATCCTTACCATGCCGAGACGAATGAACAGAATTCTGGAGAAAATTGATCTGATGGAGCCGAGGGTGGCGGGCTCCCAACAATTGCCTGCAACAGCTCATAAAAGCTGGGGCCACTTGGTTGATCCTCGGATTTGGTATAAGGAAAACGCCCAATAGCACACTCAAGAATCACCATGCCCAGACTCCAAATATCACTTTTAAAGTCATATGTACTCCCACTAATTCTTTCAGGCTTCGGATTAAGAAAGAGAGAGAGAGAGAGAGAGAGAGAGAGAGAGAGAGAGAGAGAGAGAGAGAGAGAGAGAGAGAGAGAGAGAGAGAGAGAGAAACACCCCAAAAAAATCTAGTTAGGCATCTTTGCTGTTTCTTGCTAGTGCACATAATACAACATGATCCAAAATTTATATACTCACAGCCATGTAATTGTAAGTTCCGACAAATGTGTCCCGTTGACCCATAGAGTTTGCTAGCATTGCACTCACACCGAAATCCGTAATCTTAACTTCCCCTTTGTGGTTTACTAACAAGTTCGAGGGCTTTATGTCTCTGTGTATCACATGTCTCTCATGATGCAAGTAGACCAGGCCTTGTAAAACCTGAAGTCAAAACACTGCATTAAAAAATCGAAGGAACTCAAAGAAGTATGCTTGTGTTTTTTGATATATATGATTTGATTATATGGGGAGAAACTACCAGACCTGTTTGCAAACAACAGCAAGATACGGTTCAAGGATCGTCTTGACCTGTCTGATTACATCAACTAATGACCCTCGATCCATATATTCAAACACAAGAGAGATAGCTCCATTGTGATAAAATGAGTGGTAGCAAACCACAACATTTGGACATTGTGAAGCTTGGTTTATTTTGAGCTCTTGAACGATTTGTCTTCGAATCTCCTCCTGTATATTCATCTGGATAACCTGTGGACACCTTCCTTGTTTCAATTTTCAAGGTAACTGAATATTTGAAGACCAAAAAGAGAGCAACTATTAATGCACCAAATACTGAAACTTAACAGAGAAACAGGGAACCATTACTTTGTACGAAGACCTGAATGCTGCATTCTTGATTCTTTAGGTTGTGATTTTATGTCTATTATTTTCTCAAAAATAAATGAAAAGGGGATAAGGAAAGACAATAAATCTGATTTCATCATGCAATTGCACTGATTGCTAAGGCATTTAATTTTTGTAAAAAAAAGGTTTACCTCATTTCTAAAAATCAAAATAGTATATTGTTATAGGAAAAGGACACATGTACTAAAAAACTCACACAAAAACCTTAAGAATAAGCTTACCAAGATTCTAGCAATGAATAAAGATAAACATATAGTGAAGTACTTAATTATTGAGCACTTAACCTTCAAGGCAAACAATGTTCCAACCCATTTGTGGCGAACAAGTTGAACAACACCACCACTTCCCTTGCCGATAACTTTGATGGTCTCAAGATCTTCCAATGAGAACTGAAGATCAATCTCCTTTGTTTCCGAAGGCTACAAAGCCATCACGCAATAGAAAAAAGATAAACAAAAGGAAAAAAAAAAAATAGGTAATGTTCAGTTAGATCCACATCGGAGGAATTTGAGATAAAACAAATTATATATCACTGCAGCAGGTTCATCACGAAAATAGCGCGGGCCAAAAGCAGCAATGAATCATAAACTGTTTGCAGTCTGATTGTCACAAATCTAACTGATGCAATTATTGGCTCCATACTTAAGGTTTTCCTTTCCTTTTTATAAACAATAAGCTATAAATAATAAGTCAACTATCCAGAACTGACACAGAGAACTGTTAAGCTCAATCATTAGTTTTTCACACAGCTTGAGTCACACTTCCAAATCCTAACAGTTATAATTTACAACAATATACTGGTTTTTTCTTATCTGTTTTTATTTCAGTGGTGTAAGCTATTCTACTGAATTAGTTAAAACAAGGAAAAGAAACCATGTCAAAAGGTGGGAATATGATGTCAGAATGTGCGTGCGTTTGTGTATTGTAGCAGAAAAAACTCGATCTAATGTATGTTCATGACGAGACAACAATAAATATTTGTTAAGCACCTTGCTAATGCATCTGAGATTTATCAGGAAGTGGATAGTGATTGGTAAGTGTGCGGTGTGCCACTCGATAGCCAGATAGCTTATGGGACATTTACAAAAAGGAAAGCAGACGCAAATTAATTTGTATCAAGTTGTTTGCTCAAATTGTAGTTGTTTTTAGCTACATTGGTACCATACCCAAATACGCATCAGCCATCAGTTGATATGTCATAGGAATAGAAAATAACTGTTAGAAAAATCAGTTTGCAACAATAACCTAGTAAATAGCCAATAAATTATAAGCCCTAGCATCCAGAAAAGCAACTAGAAACAGTAAAATCGAACATATAGCTATCACCAAGCAGATGAAGCAAAGTGGTCACATTTGTGTCCTTAGTTTATAATCCTTTTAAATGTTTTCAGCTAAAGAAAAACTAGCTGGATATCTTATCAGTCGTATTAATTCTAAATTCTTCTATAATGAACACTGTCAAGAAACAGCGATCTTGGTACATAACCAGACCTGATTGAAATTTCCATTAACCGTCAATTACCTACTTCACAGAATTTACCGGCTTAGTCGTTGTAAATATTAATCTTGATACGGGTATGGAAAACAGAACGCCGGCTGAGTATCCTCGAAGTGATTTACACAAAATTGGAGCCATTATCCTTCAAAGAAATTCCGTAAGCTGCCCATAGATGCTTGAAATTCGCACCAGACTTGAATAACATTAAACGTTCATTTAAATTTTTTTTTCATTTTAACTATTTTAAGCAACCATATGAAAAAAGTGTGATGCTGCCATTGCAGATTGGAACTTTACAAGCACTAAAAACTCACTAGGGCTTCATTCTCGTCAGAAAGCAATCGGAGCCCGTTCTGATTCAGCAGTAAATCCCCGTCATGAAAGGTCCCACTTGCCGTCCTGCACCTCAAAAAATCAACATAATCAGGTTCAGTGAATCTGAAACAGATACATTGAAAGAAGAAGTAAATTCATAATTGAAGGGTTTAATACAGGAAACTGGAGATGGGAGATTTGTGAGCTGGGACAGAGAGCTTGAGTTCTTTGAGAGGTTTCTTGATCTTCATCATCCCGGAAATATCTAGGGTTCCGCCGTCCGCGGCGTGGGTGAGATTTGGAAGACCGAAATGTGAAAACAGAAATTTTAAAATGGTAATGACCGCCAAACTCTGCTCGATTAAAACGGCTTAGAGTTGATTGGATATGAATTTGATCGAAAATAATAAAATTAATTAGTTTTAATTTAATCATTTTTTTAATTCAACTTTAACTCAATTCCATTATTTTCTTAGTTAGGCTTGGATATAAGCTAGTATTTTTTATAAAATAATAATTCGACTTGGATTGCATTAAATATCTATATTAGTCACGGTAAATCTTTGAATGATCTCTTCCTTATTTTCTTATAAAATTAGCTACCATAAACTATTTTACATTTCAGTATCCTACATTACTACATACTAGTACAGAGCCCGTGTCATTCACGGATGAATAATTTTAAGGCTATTTATCCAGCCTTATAATTATATACATGAATAAAGAAAAATGTACGGGATATATATAGTACGTGACTTGTGCGAGCCACGACATATATTTATTTGAGAAATATTATATTATAAGATGCAATATTCATTAAAAGTTTTTTAATACGCAGGAAAATTGTACAATAAAATAGTATTCGACAAAGAAACAATCATATATTACATGTACAGGAAAAAATCAGAACAGATTTACCTTACAATTAGATAAGATTTTTTGTACAAAAATAAGAAAGAATTTTAAATCAACACAAAAGTTAAACATTGGATTTATTGATTTACGTAAAATCAATAAATATATTGACAATTAAACCCTTCAATTTAGGCTTGATATCGACATTATTTATGAATAACGTAAAATCAAAATTTTTATTTGACCGATCAAATCTACCTTTTTTTGGTTTTACGTACAAACTTTTTGACAAAATTGATGTTATGGAATAAAAGAATTAAATAAAATAATTAAATAAAATAATTTAAACATAAATAGAATGCGGATAATCCTCTCATGTCGGATAACGCCATCTCAAAATGGCCTCAGATCCAGCAATCCTCCAGATCCAATATTTCATTAAATAAAATAATTAAATAAAATACTTTAAACAAAAATAGAATGCATTAATTACTTTTGACTTTTCTGCCTACTATTTCTAGTAAATATGATGATTTTTTATATAAGTATATATTATATTTTCTATTTAATTAATACACCAGTTATTATAAATGTATCTTCTTATTTTTTTAAATTTTATAATCTTTTTGTTTAGTTTTTTTATATATATATAAATTTTTGTTTTTTTATATATAATTAACATTTTTGTTTTTATATATAAAATTTTATATATAATTAACATTTTTGTTTTTTATACATGATTTATCAAATTAACTAAATTTGAACGATCTTCGATTTGACATCCATATTACATATATAAAAATATTGATATACATTCTTACAAATAAATTTTAAATTGATTTATCAAATGAAATTAAAAATTATAAGCAAATCACTACAAATTATCTTATAAAGCAAGAGAAATTGATTTATATTAACATATAATAAAATATTTATTTTAATAAAAAATAATATATAAAAACTACGCATGAACATGCAACAAGTATAAAAAAAATATTTTAAAATTTATGTCGAAAACTACAAAGAGATTGAACATTATAATGATATTAAAAATTAAAAATGTTAATTATAATTAAATATAATAAAAATTATTATTATATTTCATAAAGTTTAAAATATTACACCCATACACATTGTATTTTAAATTATTGAATATTATAAAGTTGAAGATATTTAAAACTGTAATAGATGAGGGAAGAAAAATTGTGTATAAAATATTAATCAAACTTGGAAAAAATTAAAATAAATTTATTTATTTGTAGAATATATATATAAATATATGTGTGTGTGTGTGTGTGTGTGTGTGTGTTTATGTGTGTGTGTGTGGGGGTGGGTGGGTGGTGTGTGTATGTGTGTGTTAAAAAGATATCGTCTTAACAAATTAAGTGTAAAAAAATTGGTATTATTTTAAATAATTAAATTTATTAATTTTATAATTATTAGTTTTATACTTTATTTTTTATCATTATGTTATGAGAATATAAATTTCTTTAATGTATTTTATATAAATATTTTATTTTTATTTTAATGCACCCCTTTTGTTCACGGACGTTATATTAACTGCATAATAAATTAATTATTTTATTTAACTTTAAAAAAATGAGTATATCTCAAATAAAATAAATAATATTTCATACAAAATATTTGTATAATTTAAAACAGTATTACAAACTTATACTTTATTATTAATTATTTATCATTTTAATTGCAGAATAAGAATTTTATTTCTTTTAAATTTTTTGTTGCCCAATTAATGTTTTCCTCAAACACCCGTATAATAAACATGCGTTGTACTAGTTATTTAAAATACACACGTACATTGCACGAGTATCAATGTTAATTCATAGTATATATGAGTAAATTTTCTTTAATGGTGGGCTTATTAGCGGGACAAATTCTCCTATACAAAGACTGTTAAATGCGCAACTCGACTTTGTTTATATTTTCGTTTGATATTTTTTTTTTTTTTACAAGAAACCATAGTCATATTTACAACAAGTTTTAAGAACTGAACTCTTAATCAACTCGTGACAAATTCAGATTATTAGTTTTCTCAGTAAGTTTTTTTTTTTTCCAACTATCAAACAGATTTCATTCTACCAAAAGCCAGTGACATAGAATAAGTCATCCCATGGGATTCACGTATACCAGGAGATACACCAAGAAAGAACCAAAAGAAACCTATACAACAACAACTCCACTCCAAAAACTCCTCAGTCGATATATACAACTCAAAACCCAAAAGATAGCTACAACAAGCCAAAAACTACTAAGCAAAATACGCCCAAAAAACTAAAAAAAAAAATAAGATAAAAAATAAAACATTGAAAATAGAACCACTGGCAAGCAGAGCTTCCCCTAGCCCTCTTTAGCAGCAACAACTTCAAAACATAGAACATGAGTTGTTAACCAAAAAAAAAAAATAATAGAAACACTGAGAAAAAACTCTCAGTGCTGCCCACAACCCTTACAAAAGCCCAAAATCAACACCACAAACTTATACTTTCAAACTCCAACAAATCATGAAAAGCACCATTCACAAAATCCTTTTCAATCTTCCAAATTTTATCAAAGGGCCACAAATTCCTTGTTTTCTAAATCCACCACAAGATATAAACCGTTAATTGGAGTCTACTTTGGAAATGGCTTTGCATCTTTTTCTCCACCAAGTTACCCCACTCTCCTCCTCATCCCCACATAAGGGGCAAATGATACAACATGTAATTCTTTTCCACTCCAAGTTAGCTCCAGTTGCTAAACACTTATTCATATACCTCCAAATAAAATGCTTCAGCTTATTTTTAGCCTTTAACCACCAAATCATATCTCAATTGTTCTTGTGCATCATGTATGCATTACTGCTTTCTGGTAAGTCTCTGATGCTTTTGAACTCTCTTTTTGTTGCTCTTTTTACTGATTTCAGGCTGAATTTTCCATTTGTATCTAGGTGTCAAGATAGGCCATCTTCGTTGTTCAGTTTGTTTAATGGTATCTTTAAAATTGCTTTTGCATCTACTGCATGAAAGCCCCTGACAATCAAATCCCTATTTCACCTTCTACCATAAAAATCAACGAGTTGGTTGACCCAAATTCGATTTTGGTCTTTGAAGTCCCCACCCAACAACTTAAATCTGGGGTTCCAAGTGATCTAAGGAGTGTCCCCAATTCTAGTTCCCTTTCCATTTTCAATTTGAATTCAGAGCCCCAAAAGCAGCAGATTACTTTTAATAAGCCACTCCAAGACCAAGATTGATTGCTACTAGCTTCTAGTTTTATCCACAACTCACCCCCAAAGTACCTAGATTTAATTAGTTTGCTCATCAAGGACGACTCACTTTCAGTACAAATTCTCCACAAATATTTGACAAGCAAAGCTTCATTTACAACATGAAGATCCTGTAAACCTAAACCACACTCTCCTCTCTCCACTGTTAAATTCTCCCACTTAATCCAATGCAACTTTCTATTTCCCGTTACACCAGTCCCTCACCAACAATTTGTTGTGAAGCAGTTGTTAAGCAAACTTAGTAGTTAGACAGTCATACTTTTCATTTGATATGTATACATTTAAACTGAAATGTCACGTTTCAAAAAACAACATACACGACAAAACTAAATTATTATATAGCATAAGTATAAATTTTTTTCAAAATGTAAAACGAGTCGACAAGGCTAGTTGTTTGACTACATTAATACATTCAATAATGATGCAATCTCAACTAGAAAGCTAAATAATTAAAAAGAGGTTGACTGTTTAATTACATAAATACATTCAATTGTGATGCAATCTCAACTAGAAAACTAAATAAAATAAAGAGGACGGTTGACTCAAATTACATATGAAATTTTAATTTTAAGGCCAAATGAACAAGGCATCATTAATTAAGCTTTGAATGGCATGACTAGTAAATATATTTTCACAAGAGTATAAAAATAAAAATTTCTCTCACACGTCGTGATATCTTAGGCGTGGCTCACCCACGTCGTGTGATGCTCTAGTGTCCGTTAAGCTTTGGCCTCTTATCTTGTATCCAAAAAAAAAAAAAAAGCCTACTTAATTGGAAATTGGAATATTCAACTATAAAAAATATGTTTGGTTGGACCTTTTCAATTCCTCTCACATAATTACTTAATATAGGCAAAGAAGACTTATACATGGTATTGCTAAAACATAGGCAAATTTTAAAGGACAACCAATTCAGGCATTTATGAATGGCTAAGAGAGGATAGTGTTGTGCCTCAAACCACTTTCTCAAATCTTCAACCAAACACTCAAATATTCTATTGATCATCACACTCACATCTCTAAAAAAGAAATCAAGAAACAAAAAGAAAGAAGAAAAAAAAAAGAAGAAGAAGAAAATGTCGTGGCAAACATACGTTGATGATCACTTGATGTGCGACATTGAAGGGCAAGCGGGCGTTCGCCTCTCGGCCGCTGCTATCATGGGCCAAGATGGTGCCATCTGGGCTCAGAGTGCTAGCTTTCCTCAAGTATATATAATGTCATCTTTTAATATGTAATGAGTTAAAAATAATGTTTTTGTAGTGCTTAATAAAGATCTATTTTGACGTTACAGTTGAAGGCAGATGAGATCAAAGGCATAATGACTGACTTCGAAGAGCCCGGGCATCTGGCCCCGACTGGCCTATTCATTGCAGGAACAAAATACATGGTCATCCAAGGAGAGCCTAATGCTGTCATTCGTGGAAAAAAGGTGATATTGAAATTACCATTCGAATTCTCTGTATCATCTCAATATTTTATTTTATTTTCAATTTTTCTTATATAAGCCCATCATTTTGTCCTAATCAAGCCATTAATCGATTCTCTAAACGTATATTATTCTGATTGTTTGTTAAAATTGTAACCAGTAATGCTACATGTACATCCATAACATACATTCATACATTTAAGTGAACTTTATACATATGGTGGCCATAATTGAATCATATTTTCAGGGTTCCGGAGGAATCACAATAAAGAAGACGGGCCAAGCACTAGTTTTCGGGCTATACGAGGAGCCCGTTACACCGGGCCAGTGCAACATGGTTGTTGAGAGGCTCGCTGACTATCTCATTGACCAGGGTCTGTAGGCCCATTGTAGTGTTTTTGCTATATTTTATTAGATTCCTATCATTTTAGACTTTTTTTTAAGGTTTTGCTCAAATGTTACCCTTGTGTCTTTTTCATTTGTCTTTTCAAAGTCAAAAGAGAAGAATAAATGTGGCTGTGTTTAGTTGGTTAGGAACTTCAATTTTATTTTTTTTTTCTTAATTTTGAATTAAAGATCCACCTGAGAGGTGCGTACAATTTATTTTCATTAAGCGCCCCCACTTACATGTATCAGTGAATATTTCCATCTCAATAAGATATGTAATAACTAGCTCGATTTTACTTATTGTATTCATTATTTTTTCCTAGTTAATTGTTGTCATTATAATACATAATGCAATTTATTTCAATAATTTAATCATCCTCTTTTAATTTTGGTAGTTAATACTCAAATTTAAGTTTCGGTAAATAGATCTCTGTGACAAATAGATGGTGTAGTTTAATATTTTTTTTTTTCAAAATAAGAAATTCAGTTTTTTTCATAATTGATATTTTTTTCTTACTGTGCCATACATAGTGTTGTTCGGTTCAAATTGTTTGATAAACGAGCCGAGTTTGAGCTCATTTAACACCCGTTTCGAGCTCGACTCGATAAGACTCAAAATTAGAATTTGTATATCGTTAATGCTCGATATCTGCTCGTTAAGGCTCGAACTTGGCTTGTTATTAGTGATAGACGTGTCGAGTTTAAACTCGATTTTAGGCTCGTTTATTTAACAACTCAGCTCGTTAAGGGCTCGAGCTTAAGTTCGAGCACACTAAGCTCAAGCTCGGCTCGGCTTGTCTACAAGCCTAACATTTTTTTTTTCATATGCAAGTTGTCATTTCAGAGGCTCGTCCATGAATCCCCCTATACATTGTGAGGCCCTTTCGATAAGACTCATCTCTTTTTTATTTTTTGCCGAAACGATAGAGATATTATATATCAAAACACACAATTGTGCAAGAAAGCAGCCCAAGGCTGAATAATACAACCCGGAACTAGAAACTGGGAGGACAGATCGAATGACCGCCTAGATCCTCGCTAGCCACGCTAGAATAGAGACACACATCACACAACTAAAAACAAAACAACAACACACCAACTAAGAACGCTCCCCACATGAGAATAGATACGCCCCCCACGGGGGAATCAGAACCGGGGCCAACGGTCCAAACCTAAAAAACAAGACCAAAAAAAACACAAACACAAACTCAAACCAAAACACAACCTACAACACAAGACAACAAAAAGGAACTAAAAAGAAGGCACTGCCTCCCTCCACAGATACCACCGGTAGACAACAGACAAACCAGCACCAAGACAATACCAGGAAATAAGACCGACTGCCCGCCACTGCTTAAGGCCTAGCAAGACGGAGTCTCATAACCCGGGACCATCCAGAATGTCGGTCCAATTTCCAGTCACGTGAGGCGTAAAGATACACGGCTCGGCCTCGCCGACACTGCCCCGAAAATCACCGCCCCACAACCAATCCCGAAGTGGAAAAACCACACCTCTCAAGCCAGCCCACCCTACACCTACCGAAACCCAGCACCCAAGATCGAAGCAGGGGAGCCCCACTACCAATCTCACGCCCCGGCCGTCGGCAAGAGAGCAAAGGAGCTGTTGGTCAAGGACAAAAAAAGAAACCTAGTCAAAGATGCACCAACAGAAGTTACCTCCCCCAACCCTGCTGAAAACAGAAGGACGAAGCAAAATCCGGCGCTGCTCAGCCAGTGCAGAAGCCCGGTCCCGACCAGCCGAAGAGAGAAGAGAGGGAGACATTGGATGAGGCAAAGACCCTACCAGGACCGAGATCGGCGCACCCAGCCTCTCCCTCGGTCAGCTCCGCCCCACGACCCGAACCAGAAGAGCCCCGCATCTGAGCCCGACCTCCAAGACCAAATCCTACAGACGGCCCAACCGAACAGAGCAGGCGACAGATCGGGGTTAGCATAACCGAGGGAGAGCGACGGACATCTACTGGACGACCGGCGACCTGCAAGGGAGTTCAAACGGCTACAAAACGAGGAGGCTGCGCTAGGGTTTGAGGAGGAAGAAAGGGGAATATATTTCAATTTAGACCTTCGATAAGACTCACTAAATAAGGAATTATATACAAACTGCAGGATAAATAGCGTAATGTTCATCAAACAAAATAACTGAAACCAACACAAAGAAGGTCTAAACCCCTAACAGAACAATCTCTCTAATAATAAACATGTTGTCAAATGGAAATTAACAACAACCAAATTGGAGTGTATTTGAAGTAAAACTAGGTGTTCAATGCTGAAAGCTTGTATATTATAACTGGAAATGTAATTTTTCTGTAAAGTATTATTCTTGTCCGTCCTTGGGGAATTCTCCCCTTTTCTTTTATATTTACGTACAATATTTATCTGTACAATAATCATTACACTTTGAAAGGTCAAAGGCGGTCCTTAGTTGCTTCTCTTGACAGCTTGCCACTTGGATAAATGTAATGATGAATTATGCTGAGTTGTCGCCGCCTTACCATGCTGAGGTGGCATGTTATAGATATCGGTCCACCCAGTTATAACCGATATGTTGTGACTGACATGTATTAACCGACATGTGTTGACCGACATGTGTTGACCGACATGTGATATCGGTCAACTAGTGAAGATGTCGGTTCTTGCTGAATCTTTCATTGCGTAGTCATCTTGAAGCTGATGGAAGTGTCACTTGCTTGCATGAGCCCTAATTGCCATTATACTGATCTCAATCAACGGATTAATGTCACTTAATCTGGCTTACTGAAAATGATATCAACAAGGTGGCCCCCAGCATTAATGGTCGTCTGGATAGAAGACGGGCAGTGATGCTGAAATTGCAACAGACCCTGACAAAATTCTTGTATTGATGCGATATATCGGTTCCGTCATCTGCACCCGACGTCTTCGCACTTGTGAAAATAACATTTGAAAGCTGAAACGGCGTGCTTTATTGAAATTAATTGCACCGTTTTATTTATAGGGATAACGGTCACTGAAAATAGGCCACGTAGCTATTATAAAGAGACACGATTTCCAAGGGTTGTGTCGACTCGCAGATCTAGAGCGTGCAATTCACGCGCCCCTATTTCCATCGGTTCTCAACGGTCGCTTCGATCTAGGGCTTGATATAAATAGGGATTCTTCTTTTGAGATCTACTTTACTTTCATCTTCTTTTTGCGCTCATATTTTCCGCTTCCTTTGCAAATTAATCACCTGTCATCTGTACTCAAAGCAATTCAGATTCTCGGACGACTTCTTGTGGTAAGAATTCTCCATTATATTTCATTTATTTATACCGACTTTTCCTTTTCTTTTGTCAACATCATGAGTGTATCCTGGGCGTCTTCGGGTGACGACGAGTTGGATGTGATGATGATCAACATGGTTCACTCTGGGGAGTTAGAATTATTATCTGAGTACAACCGGTGGGATCCGGTGTTCGTTGAACGGTTGAAGATCCGACTGAATGATAGTGAAGGGGATAAAGCTGTAGAGGAAAATGCCGTCGACGACCCAAGATTTTGGAGACGACCTATCAGGAGATGGCCAAACCCAGAAATAACATCTCACGGAGAGCCGAGTATTCTTACGGACGCCGACATCATTATGCTGCGGGGCGAAATTCGAGTCCCCTCGTCGGTACACCTGTTTGCTCCATATCCAGGTGAAAGGATCACTTGCCCCCCACCCAACTGTGTCGGTGTATTTGCTGAGAGCTTAAGATCGGGCTTACGATTCCCTTTGCCACGCATAATCACCGAATACTTACGGGACTGGGAGTTTCCGATATGTCAAATCGCTCCAAATTCCTGGAAACGAGTCATTAGGCTGCTAGTGCTTTTTGCCGAGAAAAAATGGGATCTGCCGTCGGCAAAGGACATGAGAAGCATGTTCACATTCCGGAAGAGCCCAAATAGACAAGTGTCGGACCCGCTTCTCACCTTTTCGATTGTCGGTAAGCCGCAGCCGAGGGTTAAAGTTGACGAGCTAATAATGGAGGTCCCCGATACTCTACATGGGTTCCAAGAGGAGTGGTTATGGGTCGGGGGAGACTGGCAGTGCCCCGACTTCGCTAATGATCTTCTTGCCGACGGGATAAGCATCCCAATGGCCACTAAATCTGGTTATTGTAAGTTGTTTCCATTTTCTTCACTTCGGTTATTAATATTTTGTTTTTTGTTGTCGCTAACAGGTGGACTTTTGTGACCTTGGAGCAAAACCAACCGGTAAGAAAGAGCCGAAGTTTGAAGGTCTACTGTACGATCGAGTAGACAAATTGTTCTAAGTGTCCGCCAACAAACGTCGATATCAACGACTTGTAAAGGATTCTCGCTTAGAGTTGGCTGGATTGTCTCCTGGAGTACTTAATTCTTCATTTTTACCAGGTAATCTTCTCCACTTATTTCGCTCATCTCATATCATTACTCGTGTTAACGATATCGTCCTAACTTTAAACTTACTGTAACAGTCTATTACCCGTTGCTGGGATACTTCGGTTTCGGAGATCCCACAGAAGCTGAGGAGCATCGAAGACGCAATCCGAACTGGGATTTAAAAAACAAAGTCGGAAAAAACAAGAATCTCCGATCAACCGAGATGGTCGGGCGCATGAATCTTCTCAAAGCATGGAAGAAAAATCCCAACCGATCTCAGATTAGTGTTGGTGAACCGTCATCAACTAGAGCAGAACCGACGCCGGCGGTCGTGAACGAGCCAACAGTTGCCGACGTCCCGCCACTGGAAGTGGAACCACTGCGGCAAATAATGACACCAGTCGGTGAGCCCGTGGTTGAGGCGGAGATCCCTCAAGAAGCACAGGAGGTGCCCGACGAGCCAGTAGTTCATCGTCACAAAAGGTCCAGTGTATCTCATGTGGCGGAGAGGATGAAGAAGAAGCAAGACACCGGCGCTGGCAAGGACAAGGAAGAGGAACCCGAAATTGTTTTGAGGGATTCCTTCCTCAAGATAAATGAGAAGAAGGCGGCGGAGTTGACGCTGCCAGAAGGTGTGTTTGACCCCTGGTTTCCGATGTTTCAAACGGTCGTGGAGCCAAAAATTACGAACAACCAGCGGTTCCCCGATGAAGCAGTTAAAGCGGCAAGGGTTCCATTGATGTCGTGGGACCCAAAGACTCATGCGGGGATCGCATCACTGCCAGATGACCAGAAGTTCAGTTACGCCCGTGGTTGCTTGGGCCGGGCTCTTGTAAGTTTTATAGCAGCCGAAGACAGTTACCGGAACAGAGCTCACGAACTCGATGAAAAACAACATGAGCTGAGTCTGAAAGAAGGCGCCATAGCTTCTTTGGAGGATGAGAAGTCTCGTTATGAGGCAGCCTTGTCAAGGAAGGATGCTGAACTGCAGGCGACATTGACCGAAGTGAACACTCTCAAAACTGAGAAAGAAAACTTACTGCTAGCCCATGATCTCACGTCGGTTGAGTTGGCCAAAGTTGCGGAGGTGGCCAAAGAAAAGGACGAGCAACTTACAAGGTTAAAGACTGAGCTTCAGGCCGTCCGTAAGGATCGGTCCGATAAGGATGCCGAGCTGATCCGAAGCCGTGAAGCTCATGAAGTGGCGATGAACAAGCTCCGACAAGAAATGACCGCCGCCGCCGAGCTCAAATTCCAAGAGGGTATTGAAGTCGGCAAGAAATCGGTAGCCGAGCCCGACGACGCAGCTGACGCCGGTGCGGCAACAGAATGGGAGCTGGAGCTAAACGCCGCCTTGGCTTTACGGTGGGTGATAGATAGGGTTGATAGCGGTGTATATACCATGGATGAGCTGCGCATTTATCTGCTTCATAAGATGGAGAAGTATGGCTTCAATCCGGAGATGAAGAACGCTCATATCCCGGCCGACCAGGACGAGAGGGACTTTGCTGACCGACTTCTAAAGCAGAAGGAGAGTCGGATGTTGGAGCTGGACATGGTGCCCTTGTCGGAAGAGCGGAAGGCAAAAATCAGGCGATCATTCGTTGACATGGTCCTTGAAGTGGAGAAGGCCAAGAAGCCTGAAATGGCCAACATATGCGTGGAGACAATTGCTGAGGCTTTTGTCACTGAAACATTTGAGGGCTTATCGGATGAAGAGCTTTTAAGCGCGATTGTTGGCTACGCTGCACGCAAGGTGGCAGAGGATGATGCCAAGGCTAAGGGATGGGTGATCGACCCAGTCCCGTCTGACGATGATCGTGTCTTGCATGAAGATGGCGACGTCGTCATAATCAAAGAGAGCGACGTCGTCCGAGCACTGGAAGAGAAGGAAGAGGATGTCGTTCAGCGCCTGAGCCAAAGATTGATTGAGCACCTGGATGGCATTGAGAAGGACAAGGCTGGGATGGAAAATCCTCAACTCTCTGATGCAGGAAAAGCGTCGTCGTCGGGGACTAAAGAAAATTGATGTGTCTACATTTGCCTTGTTGTTTATTTTTTCTTTTGAGAATGTACTGCCATTTGGTTTTGAAATGGAATATGAATGTTTGATGAATGGGATATTCGTTTTATGCATGTTTTAATGATTCTATCATGTCGGAAAAGATGGGTAAATATTTATTAAGTTTAAAATTTCCGACATAATATCAGTGTAATAATTTATACGAATTACTGACGTCGGCGTAATCTTACAGCACTTCCGACATCAAACTTGCCATTATCGGAAACAATTTATAGCTTATCCGACATCTGCAAACTCCTTAATCGAACAAATCATAAAAGATTTGCTATTTACTGGAAATATTTATTGTAAGCTCACCAAATCATCGTTGGGATTCGGTATCGTAAAGCATAAGCCTCCCCAAACTATCTTCAGGGCTTGGAAGTATCCGGCTTTGCTGCGTTCGGCTAGGTCATACCATCTTCAGGGTATGAAACACGTTTAGCCTTAGCAACGAGGACCGATTTATCGTGGTCCGAGTGATCGAACAAATTACTGGGGTTCGT